TACGCACCAGCATTTTGCGGTCGTCGAGCGAGTTGGTGTTCTTCATGGCATCGACGATACCTGGCTGCGGGGGCGGTGAGACATGGCCACATATTGCGCATTCAGCGGTCGGCGCACCAGTGCTGCGAGGTCAATCAGGGAGACGTCTCGTTTGACCTGAAAGAAGGCATAAGCTCCAGATCGCGTTGGCAAAGTTGTGGTTCGTACCGTCTCGGCAAAGTTCTCCAGGACCTTGAGTGCATGAGCCATGGTGGGGAAGGTGGGAGAGGTAGAGCAGGGGTGGGAGAAGAACCCGAAGCATGGGCAGGTTTATATACCCATGCCAAAGAGGAAATAACGCATCTGTACGGACAAGCAGCCGGCCAGGGTCACGGTCACTGGCCGGATCGGGTGTCTGAGAGAAGCAAACACGCTGCGAGTCTAAAGGGGGCGATCATGACGGGTGCAGGGCGGGCGCAGTGCTCGGCGAGCAAGTCGCGCCCGCGCGGTGAGCGACGGCTTGCACGGAGGCGATAAATTCGCGACCTCGGATGTTTTTGCAGCTGGGCCCACCTCGCTTCCATGCCAGTGCTAGATGGATTGATTCCATGCATCAGCCTCCTCGATAGCTGGCCTCCAAAAAAGGCAGACCCCCGGTGAGAACGCCCGCAGGGTCAAGCGAGGATCATCGCAAAGAGCATACTCGTGCGCACCCAGCGAATGACCCGCCGCCTGCATCCCTGCGATCCTGTGCGCCTGTTAGTGTTCGTGGCGTGGCGCTTGATACGAGCTGGTAGTCACGGGAACACCGCGCGTTTGACACGCGCTGATTGCCGTGACCGACGCGTCTTGTCACAAGCCCGTTCGGTCCCGCTATTCTCTCTCCCACCGCCAAAGAAACACACACGGGTCGGCGCATGCACCTGCGCTCCAAACTACATCGCCATCCGCCAGGCCGCCGCCACACTGCGGACCCCTCCCGCGCCGGCGTCCGGTGCCGCCCTCGGCAAGCGCAACGCCGAACACCGCGAGGAGCCGCCCCGCCCGCCGCCGCCGCCAACGGAGCCCGTAGAAGAGGAGGAGGCGGTGTGGGAGTGTGGGGGCGAGGTGCAGACAACGGTCGCGGATGACCTGACGCATCCGTACTTCAAGGGGCAGAAGATGCATACGATCGAGGTGCTGCGAACGTGGCTGATCTCATCTTACTTTCTGTATATTGGCGTACATCATCTCGAATATACTCGCCGCATCCTCGCCTTCGTGCTGCCTCCGCAAACAAGGTACGTTCCAGAATCCCGGGCGCACTATGCAGCAGCGACAGCAAGAGGCGGTACCTCGAATCTTGCAGCAAGTTCATCAAAGAGTTCTGCCTTTTGTGCGACATCCTTGACCATGGGGAACGAGGGGTACTGAGTTGAGAGCTGGCTGGACACAGAGTCAGAACCGTGCGTCATCGCCCGCAGTCGCAGCACGCACCCCCAGAGCTGCTCCGCCTCGGCCTCGCTCCCCTTCTGCCCACTCAGACCCGCAGCAACGACCAGCGCGGCCAGCGTCTCGGCGTCCCTCGTCTGCACCTCCTCGAGGTCCGACCGCGCCGCGGGGATCTCGCCCTGCAGGATGCGCGCGACGCCGCGCGCGGTGAGCAGGTGCGGCGCGGAGAGCGACGGGTTCGCGAGCTGCTCCGTGTAGAACGCGTGGCAGTCCGCGTACGCGTCCGCGCCGGTGACGAGCGAGACGGACGCCTCGATGAGCTGCAGCAGCAGGTCGTCCTCCGCCCACCGCTTCGCGCCGTCGAGCTCCTTGCGCGCGAGGTCCGGGCGGTGCAGCGCGAGGTAGACCTGCACCGTCACCGCGACGCTGCGCCCGCCGTGTCAGCCAGCGCGCCGCAGAATAGGGGGGGGGGGGGACCGCACGCACGCCTCGAGGTTCTCCCGGTTCGACCCCGCCGCGAGGCTCTCCAGCGCCTCCTCGACCTCGCCCGCCCGCGCGAACGCCGTCCCCGCGAGCACGCGCACGAGCCACCGCGCCCGCGCGCCGCCGTCCTCGCCCTCGATCTCGACGCACAGGTCGCGCAGCTCCTCGNCCGCCGCGTCCCCGCGGGCGCCGACGTACCGCGCGAGCGCGGCGACCGCCCGCAGCGCGACGTCCTCCGACTCGGGCAGGAGCGCGAGCGCCGCCTCGGGGTCGTCGAGCGCGAGGTGCGCGCGGGCCTTGTAGATCAGCGTGGGTGTGTAGTCGGGCGAGTTGGGCGAGGGTAGAGGGAGGTCGACTAGGGACTGGTAGGCACCTGGAGGGGAGAGACGGGAAGTCAGAGGGGCCTCTATTGAGTTCGTGCATGCCTACCTAGGATGAACTGTTGTTTGACATGGTAGAGTTCAGACGAGTCCATGGTTGCTGCTAAGCGGGCTAATTGACGTGGAACTGAAAGTGTGGATGGGCGCCAAATGACAGGGCTGGGTCAGTAGCAGATGGTCAATCAAGGTAAGTAGAGGCTGATTACGTTGGTGATTGGCTTTTACTGAGTGGTAAGTGGTGCGAACTGATGTCATAAGTAGGCCTTGCTACAAAGTAAGCTTTAATATAGTGGGCCTGTACTATTGCAATATCGTAAGACTAGTAATACGCCGATGAAATCTAGAAGGGGCGTAATAACGAATAAAGATACAGCACGGCGGAAAGCTCCGATACGACACTGGCGATATGCTACGAATGCCAATGGATACCCTCGAACCCCCAGTACTCATCCCAGACTTCGACGTCATCAGGCCAGCCTTCTGACCCGCTGCTATCCGAGACATATGCTTCAAACGTGTCCCACTGCACGTCCGCAAACAGATGGTTCAGTATGGCGACGTCCTTGGATCCGATGTTCATACACCGCTGAATACGCAGCTCGTCGATGAAGCGTCCGTAACCGCATCGGACGAACTGAGCCTCTTGCAAGGTGTGCATGAAGGGGAGAGACCCAAACGACCAGTTCATGTCAACCTCCTCGAGTATCAGAGTCTCGAGGTTCGGCGCGGGGACGCTCTTGTCGTTGCCCTTCTTTTCAGAAGGGAGGGAAAGCGCGGCGACGAGGTAGGCCGCGGCGTCGTGGCGAGCGTGGAGGGTGACGAGGTTGGGCATCCGCTCGAGAAGCGCGCGGGACGTCTCCGTGTCGAGGATGCCCTCCTGGTCGTCCAATAAAAGCGACTCGACGTCGCTGAGACCAAAGGCTTGCGCCACCGCACCGAGGGTGGCGGAGGTGTGGAGGTGGTCGGGGCCCGCGACGAGGGTCAGAGAAGTCGAGGCCTGCTCTGCGGCATCCCATCGCGCCTCGTCCTCGATCATTCGACTGCCGGGCTTGGCGAGGATGGATAGCTGTACGGCGTCGCAGCTGATGTGAAAGGCGTGCGTAGGTAGCCTCAAGGTTGGATCTGCCGAACTGGGAGATAATGCAGCAACAATAACTGCGAGCTCGTTCGACTTGTCCGAGCAGATGCATCGAAGGGAGATCGTCGTGGAGGATGGGAAGACCAATCGCATCAACAGCGAGGCGATATCGTAGGTTGCACCACCGATGGTGAGTCGCTGCAGGTCGGGGAGGGAAACGATAGAATCGTCGGGAGGAGTACTGTGGTTCGTGGTAGAGACAATATTGTCAATCCGTAGTGACCTCAGTCGAGGCATACCCTTGAGCACTTCGAACAATTGAGGTAAAGCGGGCTGTGCGAACTCTGGACCTTCGACAAGAAAGGTATGCAGGTCCGGGCACGAACGCAAGAGGGGCGCGTCCCATGGCACTGCGCACTTTCGTAGTTCTATCCGCTTGAGTTGAGGGGCACCGTCTTGGAGAAGACAAGAGCTAAGAAAGACGCTGTCTGCGCCCGCCCTCCAACCAGAGTTCTCCACGATCAACGACGTCAAACGAGGTGCGCCGCCTTTCAGAGGCTTCAAGATCTTCGAGATGGCTTTGTGGTCGCCACGCACATGGATCTCGCCGATCCGGTCCGCTTGTGCGAGCACGAGCTGGCAGGCTTCTATGGCATGCCGCGAGGGATTGAATAGCGAGGCCTTGAAGCTGATCGTCGATTTCTTGGAACGCCGGAGTATCTCTGCTGTCCAATCCGGATGGACGCCTGTAACTTCCACGCAGGTCCAAAGCATGCTGCACCCGACAGCAACAGCACGCCAGTACCTGCAGACATGAGTGATTTTGCGGAGGGGGTCTGTCGATGCGGTGGCGAACAGGCCTTCAGGATGGCTGAGGAGGCAGAGAAAGACCAATGATAACACTTCGACTGGGAGTTGCGATACCGGGAGGAACGTGCCAGTGTTACGTGCGCTGCGCAGTATTTGGCTGCACTCCCTCGGGACGGTTACGCTGGGACTCGATGGACCGTTTGAACCGGGCGAGGTTTCGTGTCCGCGAGATGTTGGCTGAGGTTGACCATCGTGGGCGGCCCTTACAAAGGAGGTGTCGTGAGTATTGAAGCCTAGAGCATTCGCCGCACAGTGGTAGTACCGGCAAGAGTGGACCTACATTATACGCGTATCAGTGGGGAAGGTGAAATATGAACACTAAAGTGCGTACCTGCGATTTAAGACGGGTCTGGCATTGTCGTCGTGGTTCCTGCATGGTTAACATGCGTCGCCGGGCACATATACAACGAGCTTGCCGCGTGTATGAAAGATCGGGATGACGTCAAAATCGCGACGCGTGTTCATCGGGCGGCATGTCCCAGCCTTTCTGCCGACGGTCGCTGTCCGAGTCACGGGCTCTTTCTTTCTTCAAGATCGCTTCGTGTTGTTGTAGTAGCAAATGTGATCCCCTAGGCCTTTGTCGACACGCCAAGTGAGTGGGAATTGTCCTGTCACTACGTGCGTGAGCATGGTTATAAATGACTCGAGAAGCGTACTCACATATATATAGAATGTCATGTACACTTTCAGGTTGAAGACACAAGGATTGTTGCGATAACTGGTGGCAGGCTACAGTACACTGAAATAATCAGATACATATGGCGGAGCCAAAAATCAAGGGCCTGATGGTCTAGGGGTATGATTCACCCTTAGGGTTTCATAACGCGTGTGAGCATCTGGGTGAGGTCCCGGGTTCGAATCCCGGTTAGGCCCTTTTCCTTGTTTTGCTACGAAGACTCTCCGGATGTCGAAACAATCGGGATTCGGAAAAATGGTTTCCTTGTGAGTTTTGATACCTGAACCTCAGATGGTGTATGCAGAAATGAATTTATGGTCCAGCATCTATTTCGCTCGCAGACATCTCATGATCTCAGTTTCATTGTTTCCGTAGATACTAGTATGGCCCGGTGATGCGAAATCAGACAGTGTTGGAAAATCTGCAGTCTGGCACTTGAGGAAGGGGAGCATGGACAGCAGCAGCATAGATTAGCACAGCTCACACGACCAGAATTGAAAATCATGTTATCTGGAGAACGTTATGGAAGTTTATGACAGGCCCTCACATAAAATATATGCCCACTTTGACACATTTTACTTCAACCCCTCTTCTGGGTTGCCTGCCGGCTTGTCCTAGCAGGCGCAGCATCATCGATATCCATTGCATTCTCCCTCACCTTCTCCCTACTCTCCGCAGCAACCCTTTGCACCACTGTCTCCCATATCGTGTCATTAATACCCTTTGCTTTCGCAAGCTGCTCTCTCAGCCGCGCAACCTCTGACTCCAGCTCCAACACACGGCTCTGGAGCGAAACGCCGGATGGCTGCACGCCTGTTCCTGACGGCTGCACAAAGGTCGCGTAGTCTCGGAGGAGCTCATCATTCGAGTACTCGAAGAACGCCAGTGTTTGTTTCTATCGTGGCCCGTCAGCTCTATGGATTACGAGACATGATGGAGAAGTACGTACTGTCCGAGAAGGAGGCAGAAGTATGGAGACTTCATGCGCTTCGCGGAATTTTGGGTCTCGCATCCGCTGGAACGGCGCGACCGTCTTCGCGATTATCGTATCCCTCGAATCCGCCGAGCTATGAGCGTTCAGGCTCAGGTTGACGTGTCCGACCAGATCTGGGGGTTTCAGCATCGTAGCTATGTGCGATATTGACAAGCCTTTGTGGGTCGAAATAGTACGAAGAAGCTGGTGCGACGCGATGTCGTAGGAGTGGATAAGTCCCGTGGACGTACCCACAAGCAAGAGGGATGACGTTAATGAGATGGTCATGGAAGACACGGCCTGGCTACGAATGAAGTAGGAACATGAAATGGGTATCTGGCGAGGCAAGGTCAAACATACCCGACTGTGATGAGCCTCCTTCTAGAGGCTTGTTGATCTTCGTCCGTTATCCGGACGATATCTGTCGACCCAGCGCCACCTATAGCTTCCAGTACCCGGCTCGACTTGTCGTCGCGTTGTCGGAAGAGGTTCACTTGGTGAATGAATCCATCAGGGGAAGCAGCGAAGAACAGACGTTCCGTAAAGTCCCATGCGAGATTCGCGATAGGTCGAGGAAATTGGAACGTTGTCAGCAGAGATTTCGACTCCAGGTCCCACAGCTATAAGGCATATTAATGGCGAGAAGGTGACTGCAGAGACGACGAGAAATACCTTGACCGAATGATCGACCGACGCTGTTAGCACTCGGCATTTCGGAAACGGACCGGCACCACAAACGATATCTGTAACAGGGAGGGTGTGATCGGAAAGCGTACAATATGGTACAGGAAGTTCATTTTGCGTCGAGTCGTCTAATAATCTATAACAGTTCCGTCAGCAGGCGCGGTGTCGCATAACGAAAAGTAATTTGACCTAGAGACGGACCAGACATTCACGCTCGAGTCTTCGCTACCGGAGAGGAGGGTCGAGCTATCTTGCGTAAACCGTAGTACGCTGACTTGTCGGTAATGGGCGTCCCAAGCATTGTACATGATACCCGACGCTATCTACTGCCGAATGGTTATGCGTTATTCTTAAGCTGCAGAAAATAAGAAACAAGATACGTGCCTCCCAGATATACAGTCGCCCTTGAGAAGTACCCCCAGCGCAGATTTCTCCCCGTGGGTCGACGGCGATACATGAAAGCTTCTCTGGCAGAACGATTTTTAAGGAGAGCTGGTCCTAGACGAGAGGAAGTACATGTCAGTGGTGGATATCTCTGGATGACAGGACGCACCCTTTGGAAGTTGTACACGTTCATAATCGATTTATCTGGCTGCGCTGCCAGCATGAAGCCTCCCTGGCCATTCCTGGTTTGTGAGACCGCTGTGCAGCGCGATCCGGCAGAGGTCTGCTTAAATGAAGCAAGCGTTGCTCCGGTCTGAATGTCGTGGAGAGAGATGCTGCCCGGACCTGCGTTGGATGGAGTGGGCGAAGTGGCGCACAGCACGACCTCTTGTAGCTGCATGGCTGCCGCGGTAGGTCGAGTGAAGGTCAGGAAACGGCTCACAGAGAAATTGGAACAGGAAATTGGCGGCACAATGCGATCAGTGATGGGAAATCAGATCGAAATCGGGACTCGAGGATGTCACCACAGCCGCGACACGCTCCCAAGTATAAGAGCCACTTTCGATGATGTTCGACCAGCCTTTCTCCTTGCACCTGCTTGTATACCCTCGCCCAGCTTGTGCTCTCAGACGTAGCACTCGCATCCACTCGCCATGGCTTCTGACCTCTACGAAGTACTAGGCTTAGACAAGAGTGCATCCCCCGAACAAAGTACGTGCCGCAGGTTCTTACAGTAGCACTTGTTACTCACCTCAAACAGTTCGCAAAGCGTACAAGAAGAAGGCTCTGGCGACTCATCCAGACCGGCTACCACCCAATGTTTCTGAAGAGGAAAAGCAGCAGGCTAACGAGCGGTTTCGTCTGGTATGCACACCTTCATACTATACGAGCATAGCACTGCCCTGACGCATCGCATAGGCGAACAATGCGTACGAAGTATTAATCGATCCCAACAATCGCAAGGTTAGTAGACACCTGTTACCCTATCTCGGTTACATGCTCTGATCAATGTACAGTTGTATGACCAGCATGGCGTCTGGCCACCACCGACTGCAATGGAAGAGCCACCCACTCGCAGCACATCAGCGCACGATCCATTTGGGGGGCGGGGACCGCTCTTCGATAGCGACCCATTTGTTAGCCGACATCGCCCAATGCACGGATTCGCCTTCACGGACCCCTTCGAGCTCTTCAACTCGCTCTTCGGCGACATCCGCGGTACATCCCATGTCGACCCATTCCACAACGCGTTCTCCGTACACAACTCGCCATTTGATCTCATGTTTGGCCCCTCCGTGCCCAGGTCTCATCCACACGACTTCTTCGGTCATTCTGCCATGTCGCCCTTTGGCCTTGGGTTTCCCCTCGGTAGCCAGCATCCTCTTCTCGAAATAATGAATAGTGGCATGGGAAATTCGGCAAACGTCCGGTCTTATAGTTCAATGTCGCAAACAATGGACACTGGCCGCGAGTGGATATCGCAAAGCATAATGACCCGTACCATTAATGGACGTACCGAAACCATCACGAAACGCCAGGATGCTCAAGGCAACGAGCACGTCACATACTCCTCACCAGAAGGCGAGCGGTACACGCTCAACGGGATCGACCAACCAGTACCCGACGATAGGTATCTGTCGCGTCCGGGATCGCATCCTGCCGTAGCTTCCCCTTCGCCTGCTGCCGCCTCTGGCTCCTCGCGGCATGACCGCTCTCAAGCACAGCCCATCACTATCAACTTCAATGCTCCGTACGAGACTGGCTTCGCTGCTGTACCCCAGCCGGAGGCCTCGAGGCACCGCCATTCGTCCTCCAGGCACAGACACCATTCCACCCACGAAGGTATGCTCCGAACCCTGACAGTACTGTAGCAGGGCACTGATCCATTCGACTGTAGCCCATCGTCCTCGAGGGTTGGATGACGACGCTATGCGTCGCAGCTCCAGCAGTCGCCAGCATTCCGACGGCAGCCAGGCTGCAGCACCCTATCAAGATCCGAGCCAATACTACGGCGATGCTGCATCTAGGCGGAAGACGAGCAGTCGTCCTCCACACCCGTCACACCATTCGCACGCGCATATGCCGTACAGCGAACCCCTGCGGCCGGAGCCCACTACTTCGCACGGCGTGGGTAGCTCCTATAGACAGCAGTTCACACCGTTCGCGGATCCCACGCCGCAGAGTCATGGCGTCAACTACGGCATGGACGGACAGGCCTTGCACGCGCACACCCACGCTTCTCACCGTCCCCCTGACCGCGATGAACGGCACCGGCATGGGAATGCCGAGAGACAGGACGAGCATTACCGGCGCAATTGGTGGAACGGGGCTCATGGATGGTGAGGATAGTTAGGTGCTCTCGGGTTGCGAGTTCATGCGTCGTTTCTGACGACGCTTTCGTAGGTTAAGCGGGCTCAGCAAAGTACCGCGAGCACGGGGAAATTAATTCTTCAGCCTTTGTTCTGCAATGGCAAGCGCCCCATTGACTATATCACTATCTGTATCTTCTGCTGTCGTCGTTGTTGTGACATACGTTTGTGTATATTGTCTCCGACCCCCTTACCTTCCAGGATGTACCATACAGTGTATTTTTTCTCAATAGAAGCTAGGGTTTATCTTCTTCACCGCATGATATCGTTCCGGCCTCTGGCCGACGACATGGTAGAACAGCGACATCGCCGTCCGAAGTGCATTCTGATAGCCTTCATCAGAACGGCCACGACGACGGAGGCACCACATTGTCTCATCCCGACCGTGTATGGCCCCCGACATCGGACGTGATCCAGCGAATCGGTGGAGAATAGACCTTCTCCCACACCCGCGCCCCGCCGAGATACGAAGCTGACAACGCTTGGCGGGTATCATTCAGTCGCCAGTGTGATGTACATGTACAGACGGTATCGCGGACGTAAAAGCGGAGGGAGGCCGACACTAGTATTAGGTACGACTATCAATAGACGGGGAGACGTTCGCTTTACAGATGGCCGTGGCGTTTCCAGTAAGCCACCCACCTCTGGGCGTGCTCACCGGTCAGAGGCTGCATGTTACGCAGGGTCGGCGACGTGCGGTGCGCCTGGGATGTGTCGAGCCCGTGGAGGCCAATCGCCGTTTGGGTGTACGCGGTCTGCTTGCACTGGGTGAAGAACTGGAGAAGCT